TTTTTGAGACTATGCCAGGCTGATCTCAGATTCCCAAGCAGTTGGGGTTGCAGGCATGTGCCACCACATCCAGGCTCATTCGCTGTCTTTTAATTGGAGTGTTTAGACCATTTGCTTTTAAAGAGATTACCAGTATAATTGGGTTTAAACCTATTGTCTCGGTTTTTTTGTTTTGTTTTGTCTAATTGATCTTTTTTTTGTTTTTATCTCTTTTCTACCCTCTTGGATCTAGTATTTTTTCATAAATCCATTTTATCTCCATTACTGACTTTGAATATTTTAGTGGTTATTCAAGGAGTTACAGTATATACCATAATCATTTATCATAGTATATATTCAGCTAATAATATACCACTTCATGTATAATGTAAGAACCTTACAAGAATATACTTACATTCCCCACTCTTGTCCTTTGTATAATTCACATTTTAATTCTACACATATGATAAACTCTGTAATAATTTATTATTGTTATGATTAGTTATTGTTTAATAATATTTCAGTATAAGCCAAAAGCATCTTTTATTATTTCTTCTCTTTCATGAGAAGTTAGAAATATAGATTTTTCTTTGACATTCCCTAAGTTTTCAAAAACTTCAGGTAAGGGGCTGGGTTTGTGGCTCAGTGGTAGAACGCTTGCCTAGCATGTGTGAGGCACTGGGTTCACTTCTCAGCACCATATATAAATAAATAAAATAAAGGTTCATTGATGACTAAAAAATAAAATAAAACAAAACTTCAGGCTACTCAAAATGGATCAACAACTTAAATTTAAGAGTTAAAATTCTAAGACTCTCAGAAGGAAACATAGGGTAAACCTTCTTGACCTTGTATTTGGTGCAATGGATTCTTAAAATTAACACACAAAGCACAAGCAACAAAAGAAAAGTTCATAATTTGGGCTTCATAAGAATTAAGAATTTTTATATTTATAGACATCATCAAGACTGTGAAAAAACAATCTCTAGAATGAAATAAAATATTTCAAATCATATCTGATAAACGTTTAATATCCAGAATATATAAAGAACTCTTAAAACTCAACAACAATAACAAAAACCCTTTTAAAATGATCACAGGATTTGAATAGATTGTTTTTTCCCAAGAAGATATATAAATGACCAGCACATGAAAAGGTGTTTACCATCATTAGTCATTTTCAGTTTTCTAAAGGTTTGAAATTTTTTGAAAGAAAATATTGGAGAAAAAAATAAATGTTGAAAAGAGCAAAAAGACTTTAAGATTAGTAGTTCTGGTCTGCTGTTTTTTGGAGTGTGGTGTCTTTGTTGAAATAACTTTGGTGGTGAAGCTGGGGAAATGGGCATTGCTAACAGACCTGCCTGGTGGTTTTGATATCACGAAACGTAAAGAGGTCATATTTACCTGTGTTTTGTCATCATGTTGAGGAGCACCACCCCTCCTCTGTCTTTTGTACCAGTGCTTACAGAGAGTAAAACCAGAGTGTCTTAGCATGGCAGGAACCTGCGAGCTGTGATTCTGAGGGGTCTGAGTGGCGAGGTAGGCCAGGGACGTGAAGGCAGCTCAGGGAAGTTTTGTGGTTGGGTGAGGCTTCATCTGACACGCTTACTCCCTTCGCTGCTTGTCTTTCTTGCCAGAATTATGAAGAAGCCGTGCTCTTGCTGTTAGAAGGAGCTGCCTGGGAAGAGGCTCTGAGATTGGTAAGAGAAATTCTGAAATCTTCCTATGTTGGGTGCTAATGAGAGAGAGCAGCAAGGGAGACAAAATAAAGTTTGACTGCTTTTTATTAAAGTGAGTTGAATTTCTTGGCTGCTAGGGAGGATCCCTGCTCTTCAGGAAACTGTCCTTGATATGCTGAAGTATTTGGGAGTGAAGGATAATACCTGAAACTTAAATTTTAAAAAGTTCAGTGGATGCATCAACAAGTGTATGTGTGTGTGATGCACGTATGTGTACACAGGAAGTTTTCTTGCCTAAAACTGTTATTTTTTTTTTTCCTCTTAGGTATACAAATATAACAGACTGGATATTATAGAGACCAACATAAAGCCTTCCATTTTAGAAGGTGAGGGTTACATTGTAGATAGCATTTGTTTAGAAGTATAGAGAAGGGGAGAAGAAAGATGGGGGGATACTGTTACTCTTTTTTGTTTTGTTTTGGTACCAGGGATTTAACCCAGGGACACTTTACCACTGAGACACATCCCCAGCCCTGTGACTGCATTTTAAAAGCATATGTTATATATACTCAATCATAATCTTTAAAACTATGCTGAACTGTTAGTTACACATAAAAGATTTAAAACATTAGAACCTATGATAAAACACAATTCAGAATTTTTGTGCCAGGCTGGTGCACACCTGTGATCCCAGTGACTCAGGAGGGTAAAGCAGGAGGATCACAAGTCTAAGGCCAGTCCTGGTCACTTTATAAGGCCCTGTCTCAAAATAAAAATGACTGGGGATATAGCTCAGTGGTCAAGTACCTATGTATTTAAAAAAAAAAACAAAAACCACAAATCTTTGTAATGTATGGGTTTGGATTATGGCAGGCCCGGGTCACTGGGCCTGTCATAGGTCCTTTGCCAGAGCAAACTCTGGTTGCACACCATTGTTTGGCCTCTGGGTTTGTGGGCTGCTAGTACTGAAGTAAGTTGCCCAGTAAGGGGAGAAAAAGGAATCTTTGTTTGGGGGAATAGTTGGTAAATTTGAGTATGAACTACATTAGGTAATAGTATTATATCAGTGATAAATTTTCTACATTTAATCTTGTGGCTTTATAAGATAATATCCTCATTATTCTTAAGAGATAAATGCTGAAGTATTTGGGAATGAAAGATAATATCTGAAAGTTCTATAGCCGTGTGTGTGTGATGCACATATGTGTACACAGGAACACATATGCACAGAGAAACAGGCAGAAAATAGGCAAAATGTTAACAATTGGTAAATCTATGTGAAGGGTGTATGTGTCAAACTATTCTGATTTTTATAAAACTAGAAGTCAAAAATAAATAAAAAGAACCTTTGTACATGATGTTTATGTATGGTTCCTAGAGAATGAGTGAATATTAGAAGTCTAGAATATTCCGATAGCCACTGGGATCCTTTAACAAGATGTGAAAAAACAAAATCAGTTTGACTTCTAGAAATCTTAGGAATGCACATTGGTTTTAATCTCTTACTTTTTAAGCAATCTGTCTCATAAAGACGTCTGGCCTTTCTGACATTTGCATTTATTTATATTCTCTGCCTTCCTGCTCCTCCTGTCCCCATCCTCACCGGAACTGTTGTTGGGGTACTTTTTTCACTATTCGCTTTAATTGTCCCTAACTGGATACGCGAAGCATTCTTCCTGGTACTGTGACAATTCATTTAGCCAACTCTTACTTGGATCTACATGACTAATGAGAACATAAAAATATGTTAATAATTCATCTGCACAAGCCTAATACCTATTAATAACGTGGGTCCTTGGATAGTACCATTTTGATTTTTTTCCTATATTCGTCTAGTGACATTTTTTTCTTTTATTATTTTTCCATTGGAAGATAATTTTCAAAAATCCTTAGGTTCATTTATTCTATACCCCTAGGCATTTTGATCTATGTTTAGGAAGAAACATTCAAGTAACTTTCTTCCTATTTTGTTAATAGCTTCCTGTGCTCTCCCTTTATTTGCCAATCTTTTGGATAGATTCCAAGTCTTTGTTCAGAGGATTTTCAAGTATAGTGGTAGGTATGCTGGAATGATACTGATGAACTCAGATCTGGAATCTCAGTCTCCAGTTCATTAATGCTCATTAAGGAAAAAAATCCTGCTGGAAAAATTTGTCACCTCTTTTTGTTGAATTTTAATCCTTCCTGACTGCTTTTCCATTCCCCTTAGTTTTTTCTCTTTGCTTAAACAAATCACATTCCAATTATTTTCCATTCTGCATCCTCAGCCCAGAAAAATTACATGGCATTTTTGGACTCTGAAACAGCCATATTCAGTCGACATAAAAATCGCTTGCTGGTGGTTCGAGAGCTCAAGGAGCAAGCGCCGCAGGCGCATCTGGGTGAGTGCCTGCCGGAAGCCTGTCAATACTTGTGGGATAGGCCTAGCACCACTGCACATTGTCTAAGCTGCTTAGTGTCTGTCAGTCCATTTTCTGTTGCTATGATAGAATACTTTAGGCTGCATAACTTATAAAGAAAAGAGATTTATTGGGTCAGAGTTCTAGCATGGCACCAGCATTTACCTGGCTTTTTTTTTTTTTAAAATATATATATTTTTAGTTGTAGTTGGACACAATACCTTTATTTTATGTATCTATTTTTATATGGTGCTGAGGATCCAACCCAGCGCCTCACATGTGCGAGGTGAGCATTTTACCGCTGAGCCACACCCCCAGCCCCTTGCCTAGCATTTGGTGAGGGCCTCATGACAGAAAGGGAAGTGGACATCTGCAAAGAAATGCATGTGTGCAGGAAAGTGAGGAGCTGTGTCAGGCACACTTTATAACAGCTCAGTATCACAGCAACCAGTTTAGTCTCATGGGAACAAGAACTCACTCCTGCAAGAAAAGCATTAGTCTCTCTTAAATTCATTACCACTGTCCCTTTGAGAAATTAAGCCTCAAAATAAGTTATTGAATTGGGCCAAGCTATATTCAAACCATAGCAGTTTTTTTTTTTTTTTTTTTTTAACTATACCATGTGGAGTCTGAGGCCCCTGAGGGGCTATGTGTGTCTGTATTTCTGAGTGTTGGTGAAGGTCTTGGGGTCAGAACCAAGCACAAAACAGAAGAGCTATGCCAAGTATTCCACCCCCCCCCCCCCCGTCCCCATCCAACCAGCAGTAACTTGTTTCTGTTTCACAAAATAAGTTTTCCTCATTTCAAAGAAGAAAAGGAAAAAAAAATTTTTTCGCAGTAGTAAAATTTTTTTTTTTTGATTCACAGTAGTAATAATTTGTGTTCAGTATCTCACTTATTTGAGATTGACTATAATAATTTTCATCCGTCTTTCGATACTTACTAGTTGGTTGTAATCCATTTATCTCATTGCAGGTAAGTGCGTGTTAGCAGGGAATCTTTCATCTGCATGTGGTGGTTCTTTTCTAGGTGAAGAGGTAACCCATGGTCAAGAGTCAGAGCTCTTCTCTGAAACCAGCAGTGTTGTGAGCGGCAGCGAGATGAGTGGCAGGTACTCCCACAGTAACTCCAGAATATCAGCGTACGTATCAACTCTGCTCAGTACATTGATCATCCCCTGTGTAAATGGAGAAAGTAGAAGCACATAAGTTGGTTTTCTACTAGTACAGTTCAGGAGGAATGTTCTTCAAGGCCAAGTGGAAGTTGTGCAGGAACCTGTGTGATATATTTGTGAGCTTAGACTTGGCACTGAACTGTTCTCTGCAGCTTCATGGCCTGTGAGTTGCCTAGAGCCCAGGAGGTACTTCACTGGCTAGTCAATTTATATAACATCTGATTGTATTGGTTTAACAAAGAGTGAGTGACTACAATGAAAAGATTTTGAAAAAACAAAACGAAACACAAAAATTCCACGTTTCTTTAGAATCCAGATTGGGAGAGGTTGTGAATATAAAATAAGGCATTACTCTTTGACTTGGTGTGAGTTTGCCACAAGTATTGAATGTCAGTGCAGTGACTACCAAATACTTACAAGGAGAGTTGAATTATAAGAGCTTGGAGTCCTGCTTGGAAGACACAAAACAAGATTTTTTGTTCAAAGTGAACTTATTCATAGAGGTCTGTTGAGTGATTAGAAACTGGAACAACGACAACTTGAATGGACTTTTCAAGAGTCAGAGAGAAAAAGTTCTAGAAAAACCAAATAGCATGATTAAAGCCCTGCAGCAGGAAGAAATGGAATTCATGTGTCTTCTGTTATATATCAAACTGGCATGTCATATCTCCTTGTTTAAATTTTATTTTGTTGCTTTCACATTTATTTAGCTAGTGTAAAATTCAAGTTGGTTGATCTGCTCATTATTACAGGATGGTATAAGATATAGCTTCATTTCACTCTGTATTTTAATCAAAACTTTAAGGAAAAATACCACTCTTTAGATATTTCCTTATATCTTATGTAAGGGTTATATCCTTGAATAGGATTTTCCCTATATCTTCTTTATTCCAACACTCACGCACAGCCCCCTTTTATGTGTTAACATGTAGCTTTAACACCTTAATGCCATTTTCTGCCAGAATACTTGGACATCTGTAGACTCTGGTTTCCCAGAAAGTCGGTGGCCAGTGGGCATTCATTTCAGTCCACTTAGCACAGGCGGAGCACCTGTTAAACATTTCTTTAATTTCTGACAGGAGATCGTCTAAGAATCGCCGCAAGGCAGAGCGGAAGAAGCACAGCCTCAAAGAAGGGAGTCCACAGGAGGATCTGGCCCTGTTGGAGGCATTGAGTGAAGTGGTACAAAGCACCGAAAAATTGAAAGGTATAGTCTTAACATTGATGATGATTCTTGACCACAAAAAAATTAGTAAATGGGCACCCAACCTATTCCATAGATGACAATTTTCAGTGGATACCATTTTCCCAATTTGAGAGAAGAAGAAATTTTTTCAGCAGGAAGGGCTGCTGCTGTGACGGCCCTGCTCAGCAGCAGCCTGCACGCCTTCCTCCATTGGGGCCACCTCACCCAACTATGAGAGGTGAGCACTTAAGCCAGGATAAAGGACTGTGTGGCCCTGCTTCCTGCATGGCCCCAGTGTTTCTCCTTTTGCAGTAGATGTGTTTAATTACTTCAGCATTTGGGAGGAAAGAAGTAAATGTGAGAGAAAGCAACTGTAATGTGAAATTTTGTAGAAATTTTCTGCTTGAGAAAGAAACTATGGTCTGATTCTAGCTATGGAGATGGGGGACACAGCTTGCCACTCACTCAAATTTCTTCTCTAGATGAAGTACATCGTCTTTTAAAGATGCTCTTTCTCTTTGAGTTTGATGAGCAAGGAAGGGAATTACAGATGGCCTTTGAGGGTGCTCTGCAGCTGATGGAAAGGTCACTGCCAGAAATTTGGACTCTCGCCTATCAGCAGAATTCCACCACACCTGTAAGTTTTCTCCAAGGGAGTGTGCAGTTTTCTTTCATCATATTCATAGGTCATTACTTCACACAATCCCTTAAAAGTCAAAGCACTTAAGAAATTTACTGTTCTTAAAATACCATATGCCCTCCTTAAATTATCTTAGATTGTTGTTTAGGCTGTCAGTAAGAAGGTTTTACTTTTGCCCATTCAGTGGCTAGTGCACATAGGCAGAGGTTAAGTGAGATATTCTTTCTCCTTTCTAGGTACAAGTAACTTTCATTGAGAATTTGGAAATTTTTTCCCTGAGCATAGAGGATGGAGTGGGGAGAGGAGAAAGTAGGATCACAGTTGACCTCTCACCTCCTAGTTGAGAAGTCATGGTTGGGACTGAAGCAGCTTCATGTCTCATCAGGATTTCTCATGTACAGTCATCTGTTTATTGAGAATACCTCTGCTCACTCTCTGACCCTTGAGGTTTGTTGTAAGAAGTTTTGGTTTGGATTCAGAAAGGCCCGTCTTTTAGGGTCCAGTAAGGAAAATAAAAACCTCAATTGTTACTTCCTCACAGAGAATTTAATACATGGATTGGTGAAGTAAGTGTTGGGGAACTGAAAAGGCAAGAGGGGACCACAGAAGACGGAGGGACACTGAGATAGTAACTAGAGGATAGATGATAACATTTGCTGCTCCTAAAGCTGGAGAACAAAGGGAAGAGTAGAAGAGTTTCAGAGATTATTATAATTTAGAGGCCTGGCATATACTGGGCAGGCACTGTCCCACTGAACCACTGCCCCACAGCCTGGGTTCTTGAACATACAGAAGAAGGTTCTGGTCAGCTCAATCTGATATTTCTGGAGGGCGTGACAAGGCTGGTTCTAAATGTACCGAAATAAATGGAAACTATGAACAGCTGCTGCTGGGGTGAAAGCAAGCAAATCCCTTCTTCCTCCAGCCTTGCACTGTCCCTCTGGTGTCCCCTATTGGTGGAGCATAATAAAGAGTCAGCTGACAGAGAGGACTGTGCTTTCAGGCCCCAGCCCCAGCTTCACAAGCATTGCATAAGAATGGGTTTCTTTCTTTCAGTGAGGAGGTTGCAGTCATTTCAGAAATCTGTGCTTTTGTTTTGGTTACTAAAAGTATAATGAGATACATTTGGGATATCCTGAGCCACAAGCTTTTGAGTGCATGGATTACTTCTAAAAATGTTCTTCTCAGGGACTGCATGGTGAGATGAGAGAGCAAACCAGAGGCTTGTTGAAGTCCTGAAACTCCTGTGAAGTCTTATGCTTTAACATGGGTGTGGAGTTTGTGTTCCACTTGTGAGATACACATATTTGTATTTAATATTAAAGTGACTGTTTCCCATGACTAAGTATAAATGTTATTCTATATTATATAGTCTCTGATATTTTTCCCTTGTGTTGGGATATGGCTTGCTCATTTGGGAAAGGTCAGGTATATATCATTGTAAAGTCCTCCACCCTCCATTATTACTTTATTCTTCTAGGAGGAAGGAGATTTGAAGGTCTGAGTTGAAACTGGCAAATTAAAATCACATTGAAGCTGGGCGCATTGGTGCAAACTCATGATCCCAGCAGCTCTGGAGGCTAAGGCAAGAGGATCGTGAGTTCAAAGCCAGCCTCAGCAAAAGCAAGGCACTAAACAACTCAATGAGATCCTGCCTCTAAATAAAAATACAAAATAGGGCTGGGATTGTGGCTCAGTGGTCGAGTGCCCCAAGTTCAATCCCTGGTATCAAAAAAAAAAAAAAAAAATCACATAGAAAAAGAGAATTACTGTGTCAATGCAATACTAATAAAAATGATAGGTTGTTTATTGCTATAAGAATTTGAGCCTTCAATTTTTGCAGAAATCAGAAGAATAAGTCAACCTTTGCTTACACACTCTATTTTCTATTTAGGTTCTAGGTCCCAATTCCACTGCAAATAGCATCATGGCCTCTTACCAACAGCAGAAGACACCAGTTCCTGTTCTTGGTTAGTACCTTCCCTATGAATTCTGAAAATACTGAGCAAAAGGATTAGCCATCATGAGTGCTTTGAAGGTCAGCAGTACAAAAAGAGATTGGGTATTAACTACAATTCCCCCTCCATTCTGAGACTTCATCTTTAGTAAGATTACTTTAATGCTTCTTGTGGCAAGACCTTGGTAGGGGCAAATCCAACATGATAATAAATGTTTAATTTAAAAAAAAAAAAATTAGCAACACTGAAATGCTCTTGTTCATGCACCTCATAGTTAAAATTTGAACAGTCTACATTTACACATATATTTGGAAGATTCTTCCAAATCATCATTTTTAGCTCTTGGCAGTTATACATTACATCTTGGGGACATTTTCTTTTTTTTTTTTTTTTTTAATATTTATTTTTTAGTTGTAGTTGGAAAAAATACCTTATTTTATTTATTTTTATGTGGTGCTGAGGATTGAACCCAGGGCCTTGCATTTGCTAGGCAAGCGCTCTGCTGTTGAGCCACAACCCCAGCCCCTTGGGGACAAGTTCATAATCCTTCTTTATGCATTGGATCTTTTTATCACCTTTATGAAAATATAATTCGAAGGCAAAGCTAAAGAATATTAGCATTTTATCTGCATTTCCAAATTAGTTATTATACTTAAAATGTTTTGATTGATTGTTTGGGGAGATGGTTCTCAATCAGTTTATGTATTCCTAAAAGTTACAAGCCGTAAAGGCTTTGTTTTGAAAGTTGGCTAGAAACTTTTGACAGACAAATTTGGTGCCTGAGCATTTGCTCTTCAGGTGGATCACTTAAGCATACTCTTTGAGAATTTGGCGATCCCTTTGAGAACATTTGGCAGTTTTTACTACTCTAATTTGCATTTTCTAGCATGTGACAGGCAACATCTGAGATTTTTCATTTAAATGCTACACTATAATAGCATTTTGAATGGCATGTGGCCTTTGGGGCTTCAGATTCATTTGACTCTCGGGCTGGGCTCACTCTAGCCCAGTGGAGCTCATGCCGCTGCCCAGCAGCACTTGCAGCCTGGCTCCCCTTCCTCCTCGAGTTTGCAGGGCTGCTCTCGGTGGCAGCTTCAACACACACTTATTTCTGGGGTGCTAAAAATTCATTTTGGACCTGAGGCGATTTGGTAATTGTTTAGTTTGTACTCTAACCCCCAGACCCTTCCATCCCTCGCTTCTTGATGCAAAGCTGAGA